AAAATCACATCTTTAATGAAGAGTTCGAAAGTTTGCACATTGAAAATAAAGGTTTGAAACTGAATCATTTGGAAGCAATGGAAATTAATAAACTTAAAAATTCAAACATTCTAATGAATGACCAACTAGATTTGAATAGATCACCATTATTGAACTTGTTTTCTTAAAAACCGAGAAAGAATTATTATTGATGTAGATGTGAGGCAATATGCTTCAGGTGATCATAATTGAGCAGGTACGTTATGTAGAGGTTCAGGTAATTTCTTGGAGGTAGTCTCAATTATGGTTACCTGTAGTATATAAATATTAATGTAAAAATGATATATTTTTCAAATAAAGTTTGTGGAGAGCAAATCGTGAGGTGAAGTTTTTGAAAAAAGTTTGTAATGTACATTTGTCGGTTGATAATGTTGGCCATACTGTATCCCTAGCTGCCACTGAACTCAATGAATTTCATCCAATTGAGACTAGATTAATCTTTCATCACTGAAAATAAAATTGCCAAACTTCACCATAATCGAATAGAGAATATGTACCATATATAAACAAAGAAAAATCCTCTTAGGAAAGTTCAACACACTGTATTTTGCAAACAATGCTTTTTCAGATCTATGAGATCTATAGAATGAGATCATGAACATATTATTACATCGTTCACCGCATTTAGAAAACACCCTGTATAGTCTTAAGTACCCATACAGTGCTGACGTAAGTAGTCACTCCTTCCCTCTTTTCTTTCGATTGGAACATAATTTACAGACATAATTTACGTGAAAAGGAATCATTTTCAGTATTATTGTTAGTGTGGCACTATTGTGCAACGAGTGACGAGTTTTCCAAATAGAAAGAGGGGTATTGTCATAACTCGTTTGATACGTATTTCAAATAGTTTTATATTCGTTTCACGAATCTGAAAACATATGAAAAATTGGAACTCACTTTAGTTCATCCCAATGGACAATTCAAATATTTATAATCCACTACCGGACCGGACACTAATGAAGTCTGCTTACATTTTTCCTTCATTGTGAGATGTTCTTGGGGTAATTTCTATCCACGAGTTCTCAAATGAAGTGATGTTGTATATCGTATACCGCAAATGTCACGTTTTCCTTCAAAAACATCTATAGGCGGCATATAAGGTGATCTAGTGGGGTCTTCAAAGGGGCTACTTTTGCCTGTCTACCGGCTTGAAGAGTTTTTGAAACCGAATGGAATTTCAACTAATGTTAGGTTTCTGCAGGACAATGTACCTACCTCTATACAAAGACGACCTGATTTGGAAGTGGCTGGATGAGAACTACATAAACCAGTGGATTGGTGAATGTGGAGACGTGCTTATTATCCCAAAATTATCCCAGAAACGTTCCATAATAAATTCTGAACAAACTTCATTATTGTCAGAATGTGAATGTTGACCAATTTGAACATGTACGGAAATAAACTTTACTTATACTTATAATTATACTCATATGAGCATCCCATAATACTGATGCAACCGACTGTTGCATCTTTGCACGCTTTGGAGTCCACTCAAATGACGATCGTTTTGATTCTGGTGTGAAATGATGGAGCCATGTTTCATTCATTGTCACATTAGGACTCATAAGTTCGCGTATCATCAATTTATTGTTGTTTTCGGTCGTCTATTGTGAGCTCGTGCGTTACTCATTTCGAAAAGAGCTTTCGCATACCCACATATTCATTCACGATATGTCCAACAGGTTCCTTTGACCTCACACTGCGGTCATCCATAATTATTTTGTGGACCTCGTTGCACATTCTACCTCGCTGATACTTAGTAAACCACTCCTCAATGGTTGATTTTCCTGGTACGAAGTCTGAATGATTTTTATTAAGACACGACTTGGCTTAACTAACAAAAGTTGCTTCACTCAAAATGTTCTAACCCACAAACTAATAGCCCAACAGTTAGGGTCAACTAAAATCATATGGATTTAATACTTGTAGCGCCACCTGTGTGTTAGCCCACAAACTTTTTAGCCCCATCTTGTAGTACCAGAGTCACAAGAATAGACATAATACTTACACATTCTTCACTTCAGAATATCCGTGAACGATTTTGTGATATACTAATAATTAAGAAGTCGTATACTTTCTTTCTTGAAAAAAAAATATTTCGAAAACAGCACTCTTCACCACATATTCAAATGGAAGTGGATATTCTGTGATTTTTTTTCTACAGGTCTATTTCACAAAGCGGTAGCAATGAGTGGTTCGCCTTTAATGATGCCGATCCCCGACAACATGTTAGATCTTGCTAAAAAACAAGCGAGACTTCTGAACTGTCCAGATGATACTATACCTAATATGATAACATGTTTAAAAAATGTGCCATATGAAACACTTGGAAATTCCCTTTCAGGATTTAGGGTACGTATAGACCAAACAGAATGGTATTTGGGTAATTGAAAGTACTTCGTTGGTAACTTAGTTATTACCTACCTTGAATTCGTAATCACTATATATTATATAAGTCGTCCCGCCGCGTCTGTTTGTCTGTCTGAATGCAAATCTACTGAACGGAATTTCATACGGTTCTCATCGATCGCACACTGGGGCCAAATATGTCAATTGTTGACAGGAACTCCAAAAAGGAAAACAAGCAACCGGAGTCAAATAACACACGATTTTAAAGTTGAATAGAGTCTGCATGCGAGACAATACGTATTGGAGCCCAGATCTAGCAGGCGTTCTGTTCAACTTCATTTGACGTTAGCTATTTTTGCAGCTGTGTAAATTGCCAAACCATTGCATCGTAAATTTGTGTTGTTAGAACTCTGGTGTGTTCATTAATGAAAATTTGATTTCGACATGGAGTGTTTATACACAGGTTAGTCTATTGACTTATGATAATAATTTGTTTGATATTGTAACGACTTAAAGAATTAACTGTCTTGAACAAATTTATTTTTAACAATACTCCACAATTAATTTATATACAACACTTAGCAACTAACGCTTAATTTATCTTCATAGTTCGAATTCTAGGTACAGACTGCCTGGCCGACTAGAAGTGGCGCCTTTTTATATCGGCAACGATCGTTCCGGATGTCACTAGGGATTTCAGGACTCATCTATACCTTTAGCGATGTTTCGCGAAGAGTCATGCGTTTGCTGACTGATATATCGGTCAGGGCCGGCTTCAGATTCATTACAATATGCAAGCAATTTTAAAAGTATTACAAAAATCACTAAGAGGATACATTTTTTTCAATAATTCAAAGTTCAATTATGATTTTAGTTGTAATTAGAGCAAATCATGTGTCCAATTATGATATCCTAATGATCTTTGTAGCATGTAATCACATAATAACAAAAAAAATATGTTCCACGTATTTGCTCTATTTGAAGAAAATATCATTTGAAATTAACAATACCAATTGTCAGTTTGAGAAATATCGTTTTTTGTTATTTCTAGGAGCGGGTTCCTCAGAAATATGTATGAATAGAAGGAAATTATTCAATGAAATGAATGGTTCTGGTTATTCAAAATTAGAAGAGCGAGTGAACGCCTCGAAAAATGTCGTCGAAATGCGTACAAATTGTCCAAAACAAGGTTTACCTGCAAAACATTTCGTTCTTTGCCCTGGATTTCAAGAAAAGATGTCAGAGATCTGATCGAATTCATGACAGATTTGTTATGAAAAACAAAAACTGGCTGAAACTTGAATAATTTTCTGAATTTTATCATTTCATCGTAGAAAGCAGGTAGACCTCAAATTACTTTCAGCGCATCTTCAGAGAGAACAAAATGCCAAAAAACGGAGTCCATAAGAAAAACCTTCTCGCCCGAAGAATTATCTTTCGCCTCTCATATGAGTTTGCGATGTTCTGGTCAAGTTGCAGCAGCAAGTGTGGTGAAGGATGTCACTCAAACAACTCCGACGCGAGGGAAGAAGTATAAAACTGTTTTCAAGGCTATAGTGTACCCAGAAAGCGACAACACACAGGAGCAGAGGCTCTGTCTATGTATGCTGAAGCCCAACTGACAAGACACCAATATAATAAAATAAGAGAGCAAGATAAGGAGAGATTTCTATCCTATAAGAAGATCCAAGCTGCGAAAAAGGAATGTTATCCTAATAAGGACAGCATCATAGTAACAGAGACTTCTGCCGAAGTACAACTGCAAGCTCTTCTGATCATACCGTTGAAGATATGGCAAGCCCGTGGAGAGAAAAACAAGCAAATTGTAGCGACTACAAAAAAAGGTATCCAAAATCAGTTCCGACATGAGTTAGGTCTATTAGATAAACCAAAGCCAACAATTCGTATATTTGGCCCCATTGTGCGGCGGAAGTATCAGTCGTTGCTTCGTTCTTGAGTAATATGATAGTGTGGGGTGTCATACCGATACTCTCGGCATGAAAGATGTTACCATCGATTCAACTGTTTTAACGTGGTGTTCTATTTTTGAGGAGAAAATATTTGAATCCGTTAAGTGGAGTTCAAACGCCAGATTGTAGAAATTCTTATTCTATATTATGGTTTTGGATTTGAAACATTGCTCAGTTATTTTTTTTAGATATAAGCTCCTTTTTTTAGATGAAAACGTCTACGGATTGTTAAGGACTTTATAGTCTTGAGTTTCTCAACATCAGTTGAAACCTTGGGGTCTCTTTACCGCCGGATGTCATAAAATAAAAAAAATAAAGTTCTATCCAAAGGTGAAATAGATCGATTTTTCCATTCTCAGGAAACAAGAAGAGAAAAGTGATATAACCGACAACCTCAGTCGTCTCGCTAAAAATCAATAATAAGACAAGTTTTTCTCTATTCGTGTTTTGAACCATTATGAAAATTTCAGTTATATGTTGAAAGAAATCTGTTGAAATATGTTTTTCCGGTAACCAGCTGTCGCCCCCTCACGAGCGACAACTCTCAGAAGTCGATTTTTATGCGAGCTGAAGATGAATGAGGTCCTACCTCTTAACATGCGATTTTTATCATGAAAATTGGTTATTTATAACCATTTGACATTCAGGACAGGCCACTGGTAGAATGGATGCTGAGAATCTCTCCCTTCAGGATATTTTGGTTATTATAAAATAGTAAGCTCATTATTGGCTTGAGGTAAGCAGTGATATTTCTAAATATGTCACAAAATCGATCGACTAAATGCTGTTGTTACAAAATACTAATGGAATAATAATGATTCATTCATATCTTTACTACAATTTGTTAACATTATCTTCCTCAGTTTGTATAGGGGGCGAAAAAAGAGAAATCATGGAACTCTTCGTTTTGTACCGATTCTCAAAAAAGATTATAAACTACCTTCAAAAACTTTCAACTTTCAATTCAGTATGGTGATGACAAAAAACTTTTGAGCGATTGATATTTGATAATAAACGGCATTATTACTTCTAGAATCAGTTCCAGAAAATGTGCCATTCATGTGACTGCTGAATTGTTTTCAATGCTCAGTATGATTCCACATACCAATTTAATGAAATAGGCCAAACTGAACTACTCCTACTGAAGTAGAAATAATATTTACAAACCTTTAAGTAGACTAGCGACTTAATGCCGCTTTCTGCCATAGTTACCATCTGATGTCACATCCACGAAGAAAGATCCCATTTTCACCCAAATGACGTGATTTTGAAGATATGAGTAAAGAACGTTCTGCCCTCTCAAAAATTTTGGAAGAGTCCAGAACATTCGAGAATATTCGAAAGTATTCCCCAACATTCCAGAACATTCCTGAATATAATGGAATATTCTGAAATATTCTGGAATATTCAGGAAAATTCCGGAATATATCGGATCATTGTGGAACAATCAAAGGTGTTATATGGTACCGGAGCTCTCTATCCCCCCATCTATGAAGTTGGTTTCCGTTTCAACTTTGAAGGGGTGCTTTTGAAGAGATGAGGCCTGAAAGTTCTAACTTCTAGAACGATCTAAAACAGTCCTGAATATTTAAAAGTATTTGTGAAAATTCCTAAATATTGTAGATCTTCTGCTGGAAAAATCCTCACTGGTTTACTTTGTAGTACATGTTCAAGAGGTAGCAAAAGCGTATGTGACTTTCTGGAACTTCAACTAGCATTTCCTAATATGACTGATAACTAGTCCGTGCAAAGATTATTGTTAAATCATCTGAAAATGGAACTTTCAACGGGTGATGATCAACTGTATTGCCAAACATGCAAAATTAAATTTTCCATAAATATTCTGGAATATTCGGGAATATTACAGAATATTCCAGTCCTGGCGTAACACAAACATTACATCAAAAGGAGTCAGTTATATGGTGTGGAAGCTCTATATTTCCCACCTATAAGGAAGGTTACCGTTATCTTGAAGGCGTGCTTCTGAAGATATAGAAGCTGGAAGTTTCGCCCTCTTGAGTTTTTGAACAGTCTAGAAAGTTCGAAAGTGGTCAAGAACATGTCACAACCTTCCAAAACATACTAAAATATTATGAGACGTCCTAGAATAGTCTGGAATGTTTGGGAAAATATTGGAACATCCCAGATCATGGTAAAATGATGAGTGTATTATGAGTTCTTGTTCCACCCAAAAGGCGTGATTTGGAGATATTGATGTTGGAATTGACGCCTTCTAGAGAGTTCTAGAAAAGTCCAGAATATCTGAGAATATGGTGGAATATTCTACAAAATTTCAGATTTCGAGAAAATCTGGGATGTTGTGTTGTATAACTATCGAGAGTGTTATACTGTGTAATCAAGGTTTTCGTTTTACTCAAGAGGCGTTGGAATGTCATTGTTCAAAAAAACCTTGAACGGTACGATTGCGCACGGCTGGTGTAAACCTCGAAGTAGGAATGGGTCAATTGAGGCTGGGCCTATGTCGAGAAGCGCTTTCTGCACAACCTCTGCTGCAGGCAACCAGTGATGCAATTGAACCCAGGTTTGTGTTTAATAAACCCTACAAAATACAAATAAAAGAGAACACAGAATCAGATGCTACAAATGCAATACGTATATATACAGACGGCTCAAAAACCAAAGAAGGCTCAGGATGTGCAGTGTACTCCAGATCACTAAGCCTAAGGATTCAGTGGGGAATGGGAAAAAATACCAGCGTGGTCCAAACAGAACTGGCTGGTATCTCAAACGCTACAAAAGAAATAATCAGGTAAGGAATTTCTGACAAAAACATAACAATCTGCACTGACAGCAGACAAGCCCTAATAGCCTCGAACAGACAACGTGTAACCTCAGGGCTAGTACTAAAGTGTAACCAAGATTTAGCCAAAGCCTCGGTAGATAATAACATTATCCTGAGGTGGGTTAAAGGGCACGACAGGAGTAGAGGTAATCGCATTGCCGATTATTTAACCAAGGAAACGACTGGACTAAAAATTTTAGGACCTAGTGGCTCCTACGGCCTGATGACTTCGACAATTGCGGAACTAGCCTAATGTTACACCCATGCTCAATCCCTGGAGAGATGAGATGGAATCAAAGGATGCAATCTTGCCAGGAACACCTTGGGCGGCCCTGGGAAGCTGGCGCCGAAGAAATATCTGGCGATGACCAGGAAAAATCTACGCCCAACAGTAGGATTTCAGACTGGCCACTGTCAACTAAGGAAACACCTCCATAATATGGTGCTAGTGGACACACCTCTGTGCAAGATATGTGAACAGGAAGATGAGACTGTCAGGCATGTCCTGTGCGAGTGCCCGGAGTTATCGTCAATAAGAGAGTGTGTGTTCGGCGATATAAAGGAGATGTCTCCCAGTGACCTGTTCATCTTTCTGGAAAGGACAGAATGGAAGATGACCTAGGAGAACAACTCTTCGGGAGGATGTACAATGGATCACATGTGGCCTAAGTGCACCCTCCCTACTCTACAGATACAGAACCTCGAATCATCCCAGATCATAGTACAACGACTCAGGGAGTTATTGGGTGTGAAAGACATGCTTTTGAAGTTATATTGGGAAAAGAAGTTGAACTTATAGAAAGTTATGGACAGTTCAGAATACTAGAAAGTACTTTAAAAAAATCCACAACATTTCAAAACATTCTGGAACATTCGAGTATGTTGTCGAGTTTTCAATCATTTCACACAAAATATTATTAAATCATATGAGTAATCCGTCCTCTTGAATCATTTCGTCCATGGATGAAAACCTTATGAAAATCTGTTCGGTAATTTTCGACAGACAGACAGACAGTCAGACACGGCGGAGACTTCAATTAATATTATATTAATATTATACACAATATCAATATCATACGAAATACTACTGAGTTTGTTATTTACGGAAGGGACAGAAATGCCATATTGTTTTTTTGAATTTCGAAAATATAGACTTTGAGAGTCAGCATTTTGAATTCGAACTCAGAATTTGGAGACTTGGAGATTTGGAGAGTACTAAGTCAAATATTCAAAAAACAAAAAAAAAGGTTTTTAGCCTTTCACCGCTTCCGTACTAACTTATATTCTGGGTAATTGTTACATTACAACAGGAAGTAGAAATTATTGCTGAACATAATCCCGTTTTATATGTATTTCAGACCTAGACAATGATATATCTATCTCATTTTTTCAAATAACAATATCTTTATAATGATAACATCTGAAATATAGCTACGCTTCATTTGAAAAATGAATGAAGGGACCACCAAAAAGAGCCTAACTTTCCTGAAGTTCTAAGTGGTAGGCCGAAACATCTTTCCGTATTGGAAAAATATGTATATGTATATGCCCGAGTTGAAACCCTAGATAAAAATCAGGCCCATTAATTATTTTGACATCTTCAACTTAACCAATGAATGAAAACATTTCAGGAATATGGTAAAAATCCAATCATCATCTGGTCCCCAGTTATAGAAAAAGATTTCGGTCAACCAAGATTCCTACCTGATCATCCTGACAGACTTATTGAAAATGGTCGATTCCAAAAGGTTCCTCTGATAACTGGTCAGACCGAGTTCGAGTTTGGATATAAAGCTTTTGGTATAACCGATTCTCTTCTCGTCACAGTTATTTCCAATTTCTTCTGTTACAGAAATAATCGGGAATGAGACACTGGAAAAAGAGATGAATGATGATTTTGAAAAAGTAGCCCCGATTGCCTTCGGGTATGAGAGAAATAGTGACCGCTCTAAACAAATCAGCCGAGTTCTGAGAAAGTTTTATTTTGACGATAAAAAAATTGATGAGTCCCAACTGAATTATCTTTCTGAGGTAGGTATGTTTTGAATTTATAATATCAAAGCAAGGATTATGGAATTATATTAACATGCATTTCAGCAAACTGAAATTTATTCATTTACAGAAATACGTAAACATATTTTTTCTGATGAAAAATACTTTCCTATACATTTTTGTGCACAAGATAGTCTATTGGTTAATGAAATAGGCCA